TTAAATACATTTGATGATGCATGTGTTCATTTTAAAAATGCAGTTTCATATTCTGCCCAAAACCATGAAATGCATGCATTTAAATTAAATATACGTTGCATACATTTTTTTTTTTTTAAATCATAGAGACCTTATTCAAAACATGGACAGACAGATTTATGCGTAGACTTGTTTCATAATTTAAGTTTGCACGTTTATTTTCCTATTTAGCCAACAGCAGGCCTAAGTATGATAAGGAAATGGTTTCTTAAATGATGCATTTCTTAACGAGTTAACACAGGAAATCATTTGATTCACATTACCCTATGAGAAAGATAAAAGTGAAGATCAACTTTGTTTCAACCAGACAAAAAGTAGTAACTGATTTGATTTGAACATTTGGGTCACCGAGCAACTCTCCTCATTTGTGTGATCAATCTGTGTGTGATGGTGCCGAGTGTCCACATTGGCTGTTGCTATGTTACCTACTCAGAAGAAGGAGGTTGGCAAGGCATGGATTTAAAAATGGCCTCTCCATCTTCTTCAAGTCCTACTGTAACATTGTGTAACACCACTAAAGTCCACTGATTTTATCTGCTGATAGTTAGTCCTCGAACTTCTCACAGATACATTCTTATTGTTTAAGGTGGAACAGGTTCTTTTAATAATCGAGTGTTACAAAAAAACATGAATTAACGACAGAAAGGTCTAATGTCCTACAGCAGCAAAGTAAAATGGTTGTACACTACTGCAAAGCAGTTAAAAACCAATAACTTGTCTAACAAATGCAATGCTTAGGCAGACCAATTGTTTGTAAACAACAAAAGTTAAAGATATTGAATGTAAAATGTGAAATCAAGGGATTGCACCTAGAATGCATCTCAGAGAATTGTGTTACTATCTAACCATAAAGCAAAAATATTTCACTAAAAGCCAAAACTGTCAAACTGCAAGTGGCACTAGTTGAGGAAATGTCATTTGACTCTGTATTCTGGACCAAAAAGGTGGACAGACACCGCAATAAGCATAGCTAAAAGTCTTCCTGTCCAACCCCCCAGGTCCTGTTCTGCAAGCTCCTTCTATTTGACGAAATTGCTTTTGTTATAATTGTTCAAAATAGTTTCGATTCAACTCACCATCATACAAATATGCATAATAAAAGAGCTTTAAACCCTCAAGTCAACAAGGCCTTTTTAATTATTTGTTTTAAGGGCTACTTCAAGTTAGTGTAACAATACCAACAAATAAAAAGACCCCCAGCAGCAAGGTTTCTGCCACTTCCTCAATACAATATTGCACGCATGCATGAGGCTATTTTAGAAAAACAAACAGAAAACATCAAACACGGGCATATCTCGCCCTCCCCCATCCAAAATACTACAGTATCATTACACGGGAACGCGCATCTCAGCAAACGGGTCTTTTAGCCGACGCAACGCATAGAGACACTCCCTTTAAAACAAGCACGGTGCCCTTTAAACAAACTAACGCCAGAATCGTTAGATAACTCAATTCTACAGTTCGGTTCAAAATGCAAAACAGCGAGGAAACCCAAGAAGTAGTGCAACATTGTCGCAAACAGCAGTATATATATATATATATATGTATATATATATATATATATATATATATATATATATGTAAGTACTCAGGCTGGCTGCCGAGAGAAGGAAACAGTTGAGGACAAAAAGTCGCTCGGAGATGCCCCGGTAATAGATGGTTATTTACATCGATAAAGGTCGCACAGAGGCGAAATTCAACCGGTGAAATTGTACACCGTGTACCTGGCATTGTCCTTACCTACACAGTGAATGAGTTTATGTTTCCAAGAGTCAAGTTCCTGCCGAAAGCCGCGCCTGTCGATTGTGCATTGCTGCCTTTTACACTGACTCGCCATTTTCTATCGTTCTTGTCTGGCGGGCACGAGCACGGGAAGAGGAAGCACTATGCTATATGAACGCGCACGCCCCTGTGTTGAAGAGGAAATCACTCCATAGGGAAATGTAGGTTTCAGTCAGTGGTGGATAAGTAGCAAAGTGCATTTACTCAAGTACTGTAATTAAGTACAATTTTGAGGTACTTGTACACGACTTGAGTATTTCCATGTAATGCTACTTTATACTTATACTCCACCACATTTAAAAGGGAAATAATGTAAGTTTACTCCATACATGTATTTAACAGGTTTAGCTACTTTTAGCAAAATGCATCTCTAAACAATTAAACTATTGGACTTTTTCAATAAAAAAATATTGGATTTACTGGTTAAGTCACAAAAGAGTAAAATTGTTTAAATATTCTACAGAAAGTCTGTCACAACTGTGTTTGTCTACAATGGTAAGATTCTACTTAATGCAAAAATGTTATCGATAAATGTCACATATATAAATATAATTATATACACACAACAAGTGATAATAAAGTGAAACTTAGTAAATCAATGATATATTAGAATCAGAACAACCTTCTGGATCCGCACCAGTCTGGTTTCAAGGCAGGTCACTCCACAGAAACTGCTCTCATTGCTGTCACGGAGGAACTGCACACTGCCAAAACTGCATCCCTCTCCTCTGTCATCATCCTGTTGGACCTGTCTGCTGCATTCGACATGGTGAATCATCAGATCCTCCTTCGCACTCTCCAAAAACTTAGAGTTTCAGGCTCTGCACTTTCCCTCCTCACCTCATACCTCAAAGACCGTACCTACAGGGTGACTTGGAGAGGGTCTGAGTCCGACCCTTGTCAATTAACTACAGGGGTCCCTCAGGGCTCTGTTCTTGGTCCCCTCCTCTTCTCCCTGTACACAAACTCGCTCGGATCAGTCATTAGCCCGCATGGTTTTTCATACCACTGCTACGCTGACGACACCCAATTAATTATGTCCTTTCCCCGCTCAGAGACCCAGGTCGTCGCACGCATCTCTGCTTGTCTAGCTGACATCTCTCAGTGGATGTCTGCTCATCACCTCAAGCTCAACCTTGACAAGACTGAGCTGCTCTTCCTTCCGGGAAAAGATTGTCCCACTCTTGACCTAACAATCAACATCGGCACCTCAGTTGTTTCCCCGACTCAGACTGCAAGGAATCTGGGTGTGACCCTAGATAACAACCTGTCCTTCACTGCAAACATCGCTGCTACAACCCGTTGCTGCAGATACACGCTTTACAACATCAGGAAGATACGTCCCCAGCTGACACAGAAAGCGACGCAGGTTCTGGTCCAGGCTCTCGTCATCTCACGCCTAGACTACTGCAACTCCCTCCTGGCTGGTCTACCTGCATGTGCCATCCGACCTCTGCAGCTCACCCAGAATGCAGCGGCTCGTCTGGTCTTCAACCTTCTTAAATGTTCCCACACCACTCCGCTCCTCCGCTCCCTTCACTGGCTTCCGGTAACTGCTAGAATCCACTTCAAGACACTGGTACTTGCTTACCATGCTGCGAATGGATCTGGCCCTTCGTACATCCAGGACATGGTTAAACCATACACCCCAGCGCGTGCACTACGCTCTGCATCAGCCAAACGACTCGCTGCACCCTCGCTGCGAGGGGGACCCAAGTTCCCATCAGCAAAAACACGTGGGTTTGCTATCCTGGCTCCAAGATGGTGGAATGAGCTCCCCATTGACATCAGGACAGCAGATAGCTTGCACATCTTCCGGCGCAAACTGAAAACTCATCTCTTTCGACTCCACTTCGAGCGATAGATTTATTAACAAGCACTTATATACTAATAAAGGACTGGCTTATCTAAAGCCAGTTGAGTAGCACTTGAAATGTTTGGCTCTATGAAACCTGATGTACTTATATGATTCTGTTTTCTTCAAGGTTGTGTCTTCCTGGTCGAATGTACTTATTGTAAGTCGCTTTAGATAAAAGCGTCAGCTAAATGCAATGTAATGTAATATTACATTTAGCCAACCAATGTTAGCAACAATAAGAATTCTTAGTTTATTTTAAATAAAATTCTAAGGGTTCAAGGGCTTTATTTTTTTCATATGAACTACAGTATAGTGGAGTTTTTGGAAAGATAATCTTGAGTCTTAGGCTCCTCGAGCCATGCAACATGCCATGTACTTGACATAATAGTAAAATACATAATATAGTGCAATAAAATGGACAACATTGTTAAAATAAGGCTGAGGTATGGTCACTCACTGGGTAGCATGTTCTGTGGTTTATAGAAGAAGATACAATTGTAACACGGGCAACAGCCCTGTGGTGCTAGACCCTCAGAGCCCAAATGCCCCTATATGTGGCCAACAATGTGTGGTCATTTCATTGATTGAAAAAAACAAAACTGAAATGGTTTAGGTTTCAAGCCAGATCCTGCATTTGGACCAATGCTTTCAATGCTTTTCCACACTGAAATATCTCCATAAATTACCATTAAGTTTAGTAGATAATACATATTTGATAGTAGTAGTAGTAGTAGTAGTAGTAGTAGTAGTAGTAGTAGTAGTAGTAGTAGTAGTAGTAGTAGTAGTAGTAGTAGTAGTAGTAGAAGAAGAAGAAGCAGAAGTAGCAGAAGTAGCATGGGTAGTATTAATAATAGTAAGGGTGGTGAAGAGCTTTAATAAGCTATTGTCAGGCTGCTGTTGTAATGCTGCCAGGCTGCTGTTGTAATGCTGCCTTCAAATACTGTCGGGATTATTGCCATCGTGAACTGAGCCGAGCGTGAACGTGAACACGAAAACCAATTAAACACTTTCAAAGAGGGAAACGTTTTCTATAAAAGTTGTTTAGTTGAGTATACTATTGGTCTGGATCTGGATCTGGTCAAGGAGCATATGAAGCAAGTCAACATGTTTGACGTTTAGATTGTATCATGTAGGAAGATGGTTTGCAATGTTCATGTGACCTAGCTGCTATAGCATAGCCATTCCTCTCAATTCTAAAATTAAATAACGACCACTAAAATATTATTGACGAAAATCTTAATTTGTGACAAAGATATTGCACTTGAAGCTTTGTTTAACATCAAGTACGACATTCATCTGGGGAGTAGGAGTATACGAAGAGTACCTGAATGCGGCATACGTTTCTCAGCCGGTGTTTTCATATTGTACGCCCCTCTGCTGTTGTACGGCTGTTTCCATGCTTCATAGACGACAAACGTAGCGTACAGGTAAATGATAGTAATACATGGTGTTATCGCTTTTTGCCTATGTTGCCATAGGTTACGGTCGATTTACATCGGCTTGTCATTACAAGCGATAGCCTATTTAGCATACGTAAAGGCTGCACTGATTAAACATATTGACAGTCTAAATTGGCTATTATTACGATATCGTTTGAGTGATTCGATCTGTTGTCAGCTGATGAATTATTTAAGAGTTTCAAAGGCACCCCATGGGTAAAACTACACCTGACTGCCATTCTGTAACACACTGCTATTTGGTGTAAACATTATTTCGAAATGGGCACTATGTGATAAGCTTTTGTTTATATCTGCAGTCATGCCACAGTCACGTTTTCCTGCCTATTCCGTCTCAGAAGGCGTTGTGCCCCCTAAGTGTGCTTTTAAACTAGGCTAACACACCTCAACCACAAACACACACTAATCAGACTTCTTAGGTTAACAACACTTATAGGATCTGGTGTAACTTGTCTTGTCTTCATCCTTTCAACCATACTTAGGTAAAACATATCATTAAAAAAATGTTTTTTTTCTCTTCACCAATTCTGAAAACAGCCTCCTCACTATTGAAATGTATGAAGACAGAAACAACTGCCTCAGATATTTAATTGTGAAAGCTGCATGACCTGACAAATAATCCTTAAACTAATGTATTCATGATGTTTGGTACTGTAACTAAAGGAGCTGAATACTAGTCAAATGAGGTTGTATGCTACTTACCCTCATGCATGATTGTCCTCTGTCTTTATTGTTATTTATTTTTTACTAATGGTTATGCCCAATTAGTACTATGTTTCAAAAGCTTGCGTTAGTTAGGGTTAGCTTTCATTACAATTGTAACGAGCTGGGTGTTAACAATAATTATGTCCTTAAGAGACAATTGCTACCTCTGCTTTATGGGCTGGAGGAGGATTTATAATCCCATTATGGAATAGGTATTTTTGTCTTACTTTCCTCATTTAGGTTAAGGTAATGGTCAGCTAAACAAAAGTATTTTAGAGCTGAAAGCAGTTTCTTTTAAATGTATGTTGCTGTTGAATGATTGTGTTCTTAAGCTCTGTTGCCAATGTGTGTGTCTGTGTGTTGAAAACAGGGGGGACATGACTCTGACCAGAGGATCTTTCACCTATGCCAGTGGGGAAGAGTATCATGGCGAGTGGAAAGAAGGCAAGACAGTCATGCATCTTGGTTAAAGATTAAGTGTGTGTGCAAGGATCCCCAACTTAACTACACATATAGCTTCACTTGCTTCATCTTCTATACTGTACATAGTGCTCACAATGTCTCTCTGAGGCATCATTATGTTTTCAATCAGTCCAGTAAAAGAGAGTGAGGAAAAATGCATTCAGGGTTTTTTATTGTTTTTTTAAAACTCATTATTATGGTGTCCAGGTACCACATTGGGAAAACAATAAATCTCTCCCAGAATGTTAATATCAATATCATTTTTTATATTTCTAAATCTATTGCCATACTAAGTGCAGCTCTACTTATGCACCATATTTCTAGATCCTAAAAATGGTCTCATGTACACATGCAAGTTAAATTGTAACCATAATTAACAAAGCCACAACTGAGGAGAATGTCAAATGCAAATAGGGTGCTGTTAATTTACCTCTGAATACTTACATCTTGTGACATAAGCTAAGGCAACAGCAGTGATTATATATAAAGGATCTAACATTGTTTAATTTTAGAGAAGCTAAATGGAACAAATGCAAATATTAGGAACATCAATAATTGTCTTCTGCATGGATGTGTGCATACTACAATGTTAAATATTCTGTCAAATGTTCAGCAAAGATGTCATGGATGTTGACACTGCTTTAACTCACTCACTCTCACACACACATGTGTGATGTTGGGGACATGCAAGCCTAAAGCTGTTTATTCAATCCCAATTAGCTAGTACTGGTGACTCATGACGAACAGAGCCAGATTTACCAGATTTAATCTTCTGGATTAGACTTTGAACCTGTTTGGGAACTCTTAGAGAGCCCTCTGTCAGCTTCTACTAAATAAAACCAAATCAATTGAAATACAAGGTTGACTATCAAGGGGGTTTTATTCCATCTTTACAATAATGTAATCATTTATACATGCTTTTAGGTCAACGAAAACATAGTCCATACCATTTTAGCTGGTGTATTCCTTCCACCTTCAAAGGCAACCTGACCTCCTTTTCAAGTTTGGCAAATGCAAGCATAAAGCCAGTTATAGCAGATGTCAAGAAAAGTGTAGGTGTGTGCCCTCTGACATGATTATAAGCTTCAGAAGTGGATCATAGGTTACCAGAAGGGGAATGCAAGAACATTCCTTGACTGTTTTTAAAGTCTGGTTCTTAAAGTGGAAATCCCTGCTAAAAAATCTGATGGATTAGAGTGCTGTAATTCCCACCACACAGGAGGCAGATGGGACTCCTAATTCAGTAGTAAACCCCTAGCTGACAGAGAGGGGGGGAGGATACCTAAATCCCAGCACGTACTGACTTGTGACATATGTAGTGGCTCTCCCATACAAAGTGAATATAAAACCATGAGCTGCATTGCGAGTTCAAATATCATGCTCAGTTGGTTGTCTCTTACAGTATGTTGCACCATTATGAAAGACTAATCCATAAGAGGCTAAGTGGTTAGATAGGGTATGATGACACCCATGAAGATCAAATGTGAATTGACAAATGGTATCAAGGTCATATGCCCTTACAGGATTACTTGTATTTCTATCATCTGACAGAATTTGAGCCATTAATCAGTTTGATCTGCATCTTTCCAGGTCGGAGGCATGGAGTTGGCCAGCTGAAGTTTCAAGATGGAACCTGCTTCTCTGGCCAGTTTGAGAATGGACTCTTTCATGGCTCTGGTGTACTGCTCTTTACAGATGGATCCAGGTGTGTGAGCCAAAAGAAAAAGAAAGGCATGTTTAGTCCTCAATCAAAAGTTACAAATAACACCCTAATCTCTTTTTACCATGTCAGGTATGAAGGAGAATTTGCACATGGAAAGTTTCAAGGCACGGGAGTCTTTAGTCGATGCGATGGCATGAAGTTTGAAGGAGAATTTAAAGATGGACGTGTTGAGGGATATGGTAAGGCTTTTACACCATTAGAACAGGTTGCCAATCATGTTAGTAGTATTTCTCTTCATTGTGTCCTGTGTCTGTGTCTCTAGGGCTATTGACCTTCCCAGACGGAGCTCATGGTGTCCCACGAAACGAGGGTTTGTTTCAGAACCACAAGCTGCAGAAGAGGGAGAAGTGTCCAGGAGTGGTGCAGCGTGCACAGGCCTCAGCCTCCAATGCTCGCATTCTGACACTTTGACCTTCATGGACCCTGGAGGACACACGGTCAGGGTTCCAGCACCTTCCTGTGTCCTCTCTTTTTTCACCATCCTCCTTGCTTAGCCTTCACAGTGGCTTGGAATGCACATGCAATTTGACCAAATAATGGCTTTCTTTCTGACTGACTTGAAATTTACAACACCATTAAGCACACCTTTAACTCCACAATTCATGCACACACCAAATGCTGCTGTTTTCCCCTTGTACTTATTCTTGCACCCATAAACAGTGTCTTAGCATTTTCTCTAGAATAGTTAGCTACGATATAAAACAACTCCAATTGTAGATTTGATACTTTAAAAAGGTTTTTTTTCTCCTGCATTTGGAGTAGTTAAAAAGGTACTCTGTATGTTAAAGACTTTAGCTACTAATTAGACCAATTTATCTTTTTAAAAGTGTGTTAACCATTACAAGAGAGTTATAATGTCCTATGTGGAGACTTGGCCTCTGGTACAGCAAGCAAGCACAAATGGATCTAAACAATGCACAGTTTTAAAAAAGAAAATAAGTTGGCTTTACACCATAGCTTTACACATTTTGTTAAAATTAAAGATACACATTGTACATTTTTGTGAATGTACTCCACAGGGCACCTCGTCTCCATTAACAGTGCTGCTTCAAACTCTAGCTTTGCATGTATGTGTCATCGCTGGTGCGTCTCCTTTTAGAATATCAGTATTCACGTTTGCCTTAAAGACATTCTGGTACGAGATTGTAGTTCCTGGATGTCCATCTGAAAATACGATGACTCACAGTTCCCTTCCCTTCTCCTCTGCATCATTCACCCTAAGGTGTCTGTCATCTTAATGAATTTGAGGCCTGTTTAAAGATTGCCTTCACTCTGAGGGACATATTGTTAAGCTGGTACTGAGTCTTCGCTACCATTACTCACAAGTCTAGCAGCTCTCCTCTCTACAATAAACCTCCTCTCCCAGTGGAAATCATGGGACTCTGCTGGTTACTTCTCTCATGTTTTCCCCTGTATTAACTAAAGACTTGGATGACTGGACATCCTCAAAGTTGTTAAATAATCCTAATTAAATGCATTGAATTGGGGACATTTATTTTAATTAAGGCAGCTGAATGAAATAATTTCTAAACCAGATGTATATATTAGAATATGTAATTATGTATGTGTTTTTATGTGTGACGTATACATATTCATTGTCATCAGTTGTGTTTTTTCTGACCTTAAGGAACTAGGTGTTTCATTTGTCACGTAGGAAAAAGTGTTACTGAGTTAGCTGAGACCGTGTGGTTGAGTATTTTGAAAACATTTATAAACCATTATAGCCAGCTATTGTGTGATTACAGATTAATTCTGTGTTTGGTTACAGCAAAAGCTTCTACATTTGCCTACATAGACATTTAACCAAAGACAATCAAATGGTATTACAGGTAACGAAGCCTGGAACAGCCAACAGGAGTTACATGTGTGTTGTCTCACTGCTTAACGATAGAAACAAATCAATAAGGACAAACCCACCTGGGGCTTTAGTTCGCATTAAAAACAAGAGGACCGAAGATTAAACAGGGAATTGTTATGAGATTCTGTTTCTAGCCTGGATTATTGCTGATTTCGATTGTTGTTTTTTAAATTTATTTATATTGTTGTTGAGGAAAAAAATCAATACTCTGTCATGAACCCACACTGCTAGTTGCTTTCAATCCCTTCTTTGGTATGACAGTGCTGCAAGGTGCAATCAGAAGTATTGAAGATAACATTAGACATAGAAACAGACCATTGCATGCCTCAGTACCGTCCTCTACGATCACACAATGATGCTTTAATGCCTGTATGTGCAAAGTGTGTAATGTCTTGTATTTCAGATCATGTTATGGTATTTTTCCTTTCTTCTATTTCGGCGATGGCGCTAACTCAAGCCTTCTCTACCTACACATGTCTGCCTGAGTGGAATTGAACTAACAAAAATCCACATTTTCCAACTGGAAACAAATGGTGCTTGAAAAGCGTGCCTTTTCCAGACTTTCATCTTTCTATGAAATATCATTGCTGGGATTACTTTTTTCAGTAACAATATAATGTTGCTCTTAGTGCTCTTAGATCAAACTACTGCACAGTATCCCCTCATTCTCCTTGAATAGGTCTGAAAATGTATTGGAAAGGCGATAATGTGTTTAATAAAGCCTTGTGTTGAGAAAAGAAGCATGTGTTTCATTGGGCTTGCTTGTAGACAGTAACATGATAGAGTTGTTCAATTAAAGATAACTATTTAGCTATTTCTGATGTTTTAACACCAATGGCTAGATTTGCAGTAGGGTATATGCAGCTGTAGATAAGGAACATCATTTCATGGTCAAACAGGTTTCTCTGGTTTTTGGCTGCCACACAGCACAAAGCAGAAGCATCCAGTTCTCCCATCCCCCTTCTCATTCTACACCCTCAACAACAGCTCAACAGCACACGGTTTGTATCTCACATGGCATTTCAAACAACACAAGTGAAGCTGTTATACTGATATAAGTCCAATAGATTTAATCTTCCAGAACTACATTACATTGAAGAATGTATACTGTATTATCTCTGTTAGGGTCAGGTTGACAAACAAGATGTCCCGTAGCTAACCTTGTATTGTACATAATACGTGTCCCTGACAGTTGTACAGCCATGCCTGGAACAGGAAATGCTGTGTGTGGCTGATAATGTATATGGGCTTCCTACATTGCTTTTTAATAAAATGCAGGGGTTGCATTCACATTATGAAAAATACAGCACAATATTTGTTGAACAAAATGAATGGCTGTGTGTTTGACGACTAACTGTGCATAGGGTTAGGTTAGGTTAGGGTTAGGCATTGCAAGCAGTGGAGCAAGCTGTTGGTATCCCCTGTGTAAATTAACAACCTCCCTCAGGAACATTTGAGCCACTGATGATAGAAGGAAAATATGTCCACTGAGCTCCCCTTCAATCCCTGACTTTAGCGGGGGCATACCAGCCATCTCTGCTGCTATCGTCAGCTGACGTCTCAAACACAGCGCTACTGTGTGCTCTGGCCTTGTCTGTCGCCTCGATAAAACAAGGACCTCTTGATGTATCCAAACGCAGCTTCTGCACAGCACTATCTATTAATATTATTCAACTTCTAAAGGCATCACAAATCAGATATGAAACATCCATGAGAGTGATCCTCAGATCATAAAGCTCTTTAGAAGTAAACATCAAAAGCCAGGGCTTGGCTAAAAGATTTGAGAAATTCAGCTTTGTTTCCCCCATTTATATGTTTGTGTCTCCTTCTTTAAGATAAGCAGATCATTTTTGAATCTGTTACATCCAAGCTGGCATTTTCTAGTGTCAGAGTTCAGACTCATCTCAGAGGTTTAACTGCCATGCCCTAGAAAGGCAGATTTGGTTGGTGAGCACATATAATGTATGTATTCAAATATGATGTACACAGACCTACAGTGGAATTACAGAATCTATTTTTAAACCTGAGAAAGATCATGGAAAGAGATTTCATATTTGTTTTACTGTATGAGTAGATTTTCAGCTTTTGCACTAATCATTCCTCTCTCGTGAAGTGTTTTCAGGTCCCACCTCCGTCAGCTTCTCCAGTCTCTGAAGGGTCTCCATGATGTCAGACTGCCATTGTTTAACCTGCTGCACTGCGGTCACTCCCTCCTGTAACACACAGTTACACAGTTTTTGTTACGAGGGGGCATATTGTATAGTATTTTTTAGCTTCACATTTTAGCTTCTTATATACAATCAATGAGTATCCTTAAAGGAGCTGTTTTACATTTTGGTAAATAACTTACGCCTGCTATAGACTGCCGGTTATCTCTTTTTTAAATCACCAGCATTTTTTTAGTTAGCTTAGCGTTAAGACAAGGAACCCAGGTAAACAGCTAGCCTAGATCTGTCCAGGGCCAAAGGAAATAAATTCTGCCTATCCAACACATAAAAAGCTCCCGATTTACACCTTATATCTTGTTAATAAAAAAATAAAAACAGAATTGAAAAACATACATTTGCCATTTTACTTGGGGGGGGGTTGTGCTGCTCTATTTCTTGACCTCTTAAAAAGAGTTGGGAATATTATCACCTCATTAAACAACAAATTAAATTGTTATACTTTGTTTTTTGTATTAATTAAATAACGAGATATTGGCCACTTGGTTGAGCTTGCGACCCATTTACTGGGGCTTGAGACATTTTGAAAAAACTCACATGATTTTTTATTTTTGTGTCAGCCCCTGCATCTATGAGCAGCTTCACTATCTTGTATCTGTTGAGCTGCACAGCATCATGAAGGGCTGTGTCGCCTTCCTATGAGTAGTACAAAAGGCATTAAATGCAGAAATGAATTATCGAGAAGATGAAACATGCTGTTAAGCCGCTGCCTACCCTGTCCCTGCAGTTGATTTTAGCACAGCAGGACAGCAGGTACTCCACAATGGTCGTGTGGCCTGTTCTTGTGGCCACATGCAGAGGAGTGCTGTACAACTGCAATGTGGACATTGACATACATTCACTGTGACAAACACATTAGGGACTAACTGTATAGGCAAATTATAACAGTACGACAGTATGTTAGACAGTATGTTTCAGATACAATATCCAGGCACAAATAAAATGCACATTCACCTTATCTCTAACATTCAGGTCAGCCCCCTGGCTCCTCAGGGCTTTGACAACTCCCAGGCTTCCCCCTCTGCACGCCCAATGTATGGCCCTGGAGCCCAGCTGAAACACAGTAGGATGGCCCCATTCTATTAATAGCTCACTCCAGGCCACTAGAGGCTGGAGCTTTAGTGAGTGAAGATAATCTCAACCAATCTCATCATCATCTTTACAAACAAGCCATGTGCCCGCACGTCTTACTTCATCTTCGAAGTTGATATCGGCGCCTTTTTCCAAAAGCGTTTGGACAACTGCAATGTGTCCCTCTACAGCCGCACGGTGCAGGGCTGTCCTATTCAGCTTGAAAGTTGAAACATATCATGAGTATAAAAGGGACTTGTTGTATAGTATGTTGTAAATGTATCTGATTTACTGACACACAGGGAGAGCATACCTCATCATGCACATTAGGGTTCCCCCCATCATCCAGATATTTATCTATTACATCCAGTTTCCCCTGTCTGGCTGCTTTCATGAGTTCTGCAGTATCCATGGGCTCTATCTGTCATGCACACGCACACGCGCACACACAAACACACACACACACACACACACACACACACACACACACACACACACACACACACACACACAAAGAGACAAGAGAGGTTGGATCCAAATGTATCTATTGTATCTTTGTTGGGCACATGAAGATAGGATTCTTGAAAAACGTAGCTCACCACAGGGATTTCAGCTGACACCCTGGGCGAGCATGTCTTCTTGATCATCTTTTCCCTTGTGCACAGATCTGTAATATTCTCTCCTATACTCAGGTCCAACATTTCACAGTGTAGGTCTGAAGACATCCTCGCTCTATCTTCTGCCTGGAAAATGACAGAAACAGTGATGCGATAATAATAATATATTAGTTTGTAATTGAGGTTTGCCAAGTTTGCTAAGGGGTGTTGAGAGTTGAGAATGGTGGCAGTGTCAATGTCAAAGTCAAAATACATTTACAGCATACTGCAAGCTAGGCTTGGTCATAAAAGCAACATTCACTGCTGTCATTATGTTTTTGGATTATTAACCATTGAGAAAGAGCACCTACACACTCAAATCTGTGCAAAAATCTGTTCAATTCAAAAGCAAGGCTAGAAAGTCCTGATTAATATATCTATAAATATATATCGATAGATATTTAACATTTTTGGACAGCTTTGAGTGTGTGGAAGCTCTTTTTTATTAGGTTTGATAGCCTATAGATCTGGCAGTGAGCAGTGTTTTTTCCCCGCTAAATAATTAATAAATTACAAAGAGTTCAAAGAAACATATCATTGTGTGTATGTGATCTTTTATCTCCCAGCTTCTTTTTTAATTTGGCTTATTTAAAAAAAAGCGAAAGAGCATTGTTATTAATTCCATAATTGACACGTTCGTGGTGGTTTCTTTGGTCTTTCACTGTATGCTTGGAAACCCTTTAATTGACAGAAACTCATAACTTGGTTCATAGTGATACCGTGTTATATTAAGGTAATGTGAGCAATGATAGACCATAATGACCTTATCTGTTTGCATTTCATTATTTTATTGGCTGCACTTGAAAGGAATACAAATGCATCTGTGGCAAGATTGATTGTGTGCTTTAGAGCTATATCAGAAATAAAGACTAAAAGTACATTTGTATGAACTCACAAAATAAATAAAGAAACAAATGCATTGATACACAAAATGTTGCTGTTGATCAAACAGGTATCAAGTTATCATCTCTACATATCATTGACAAAGCATATGAACAGGAGTCTTTTCTTTTAAGTAAAACAGTATTTAGTGAAACTATAGTGAATTAAATGTCACTTAACACAACACATTAGATTATGCTTTAAAAGAAAATTATCCAAATTCAATTTCATATCTACTGTTTTTGATATCAAATCAAAATCAATTCAAGTTTTATTTATATAGCACATTTATAAGCGATTTTTGGTCGAGCCAAAGTGCTGTACATATAATAAAAATAGCCTACAGTAGAGACACTTTACAGCAAATACAACACCCTCTGTCCTTAGATATGTATGTGTGTTTCTCACTGTAGATGTTGTGGATGTTGAAGTAGGCTGACAGACATTTCTCTCATGTTCACAACATATATAACTTCCTTTTGTCATAAATCAGGGCATTCGTTACACATTGTGATATTGTGGTATTAGTAACATTCATTTTCTTTAAGAAAAAATGATCTCCATCGGTGTCTAATGATTGTCATGCCATGAGCCATACTGCCATATTAATGGAAAATCATCACACATTTTGCATTAGTATTTTTCTAACCTACCTGAACTTTTTTTTCTGCTCCTGTCTTGAAGGTGGTCACATCAATTGACCACTGCTCAATGTCTTCCATCTCTATAGAACTCAAAGATACAAACAAATAAAACCGTCAATAAAACAATTTTAAAAAGTAGAAGCTTTATAACCTTGGAGTTATAATACTGAGTACAATCTGGCCGGCTGAGTGTTGCTTTATACAGAAGCGCTGCAAGCCCAGCGGCTTCCTGGCTGAAATATCG